GCTTTCTCTTCTCTTATTTGATCTGTGAAACAGTGTATGTGACACCTTCCCAAACAACAAGATTTAATGAATCCTAAATGCTGCAGACTTCACCTGACAGAGGCTCCATGTTCCCACGTAACTTTTAAAACTATAACAAGCAAGCTCACAACTGAGCTTCTCATTGCAAAGTGTATTGACTGACATTGTTGTCCACAGTGTATTGAAAAAGGCTGCTATTGTCTCTGTTGAAAGGCACTCTTTAAAAATCAATTGCCTTCTCCCTGTGCAGAGTAGCCAAAGTGGGTATCTGATCTCTGAACTCTAAAGTATTTATTTATTTCTAGTCTCATATTGGTTGTTTTTATTCCCATTAAAATTGAAATCTAACGTTTGAACTGAGAAGGATCAATAACGTCTGAGCACAACTCTGCCCGCATATTTCACAGTCCATTACAAGAGGTTGTTGTTGTTCAGCCTGGTTGTTTGCCAAACTGCCACCTGGGCAACCAGGCCGGTGACCAAACAGGTGATAATGTTCTCACAGTCCCACAGAAAACACACCCTGCGCTCCTATTGCCACACTGCAATTCCTTGACTTTAAGTGCTTTATAGATTTTCCTGTTGTTCAAGTGATTATAGTCCACTAGTGAGATAAATAAGCTCTACAATTCCCGATCTCAGCATACGAAGGTGGCGTTTACTTCTCAGAAGAAAACCCTCCCCCAAATCCTGGAATGTACTAGAGTTATGACCTCCAGGGCATTCCACTGCCTACAACAGCCTATTTTCCTAGGAAGGAAACTTCCTAGATTGTCTTTGTAAATACTCTCCACTGTGGGGAAATTTTGTGACTGTGACCTCCTTCGTTCTTCCATCACATTGTCTCAACCAATCACAGAAATACATTGGAGCTCTCTCTCTCTCTCTCTCTCTCTCACACACACACACACACACACACACACACACACACACACCCTGCACCCCCTGTGTGCACACCTACTTTGACCTCCCCCAAAGATGGAGTTTTTCATGGAAATAAAAATTTTCTTAGTAACTGATTTTCCTGGGATGAATCAGTTAGCATCCTCTTCCTCAAATGCTGTTCCTCCTTTTACTTTTCTTTCCCTCAGTTTTGTCCTATTAATTTTTAAGACTGGAATGCTCTTTTGTTTTTTGTTTTTTATTGCTTTCCTACCTTCTTTTATAGTAATTTCATTGTTGTTTTTATCTTTCACATTGAGCAGTCAGTTTGGTTTTTAAATAAGTCTTTTAATATCTTGAAAATAAAGGGTCAGTTGGGGAACAGGAAGGGGAAATGGAGTTTTGTCATGTTTGTGAAAAGAAAGATGAAGCCAAATGAAAATTGTAAAGCTTGTTCCTTTAGTCCCTCTGTCACTTTCCCCTGACTGACCGAGTGTAACACTTCAAACTTTCTCCCTGATTCTAATGGGACTGACACACTGCAGGTGCCGCACTTTAGATTTAACAATGAAAAAAAAAAAGTCCATTTCTTTTCTAGTTCTGCAGCCAAGACATGACAAAAGATAAAGTTATCATGAGCTAATTACAGTCCTTGAAAATTACCTTTGTGCTTTGCAAATATGCATTTTTTTTCCTTTGCTGGTGATGAAGAAGTTGGCAGTTTAAATAAAAAACACTATTTAAAGTAACAGAGTACAGTTATATAACCTTTTCACATAAATCACACAATAACTCTTTGTGCTTTGAAAAAAAAAAAGAACTGCAGTGCTTGTTAAGAAGATTTATTTATATAATAATCTATGCAAAGGGTTTTTTTTTTTTTCCTTTTATAAAAGTGGGATGTTCCTTTTTTAACCTCTGGAAGTTACAGACTAGAGGGCAGGAATATCCTCCAATCACCGCACTTAATTGCACACGCCCCAGCTACTAAAGACTCCAACTTAAGTAGTGTTTTGGCATTACCAGATCTTTCTTTCTAAGCACACGGAAAACTGAAGAAACAGTCTGTGCCTATTAAATAAATAAAAATATAGAGTCAAAATCCAATCCACTAGATGGATTCCTTTTCATCCACAGATCACATTGAGACCTGAGATCCTTTTCCTCTTTTTTCCAGGAATACTGTTTCTTTGAATATGATTGATCGGTGAAGGGGCAGTGAAATCCATGAATCCATGAATCCACTGATGCCCTATAGTTCCTTCACTGATTCTCTATAATCCTTCCATTGGGTCCCTGTTTCACCACCCCTGATTTGCTCCCCTTAAACTTATTTGCTGATTTAAACCAAGCAATAGTCTTTCATTATTTACACTATTGTCCCTACCATTTGAAAATGTCCCCCATATGCAATTTCCTGACATCAAACTAATCTTCTGTCACTGACCAGTGCACCCTGAAGAACCAAGGCCGTACATATAAATTGCTAAGTGATAATCTTGGCTCAAACTGACCCACTTAATCCTCAGTCTAGTGGATCACTCCAAAATGAGTTATCCTTTCATGGAGATACACCCAATGGAGGCATTTTATTGGTCAAATATATCTATTCTAACTTTCTGAACAGTGCGGCTACTGAAGACAGGGAAACCCACAAGGGCTTTCTTGTGTGTCCTTATCTTTCATTGAGATGCTGACCTAACTTTTAAAAGCTATCTCCATGGAAAATTCTGGGCTCTAATCCAAAACCAACAAGTAGGAGGTGGCTCTCTTAATCAGTGACTGTGTTCCGTCTTTATATAAACAGGTTAAGCCAGCTGCCAGTGCCTCTGTGACCAATTCCAGCTCACATTACCCTTAGCTGGAAAGAGGGGCCTGAACCACAGCTACAATATGAAAGCAGAGAACTTTACCTCTCCCAGGTTATAGCAAAAGACGTAGTTGCCATATATGGTGACCAGAATCATCAGCAATCTTAACTGATTCCCTCAAGAAAATGAATAAAATGTGGCACATGTTCATTACCAGAAGGGGTAAGATTTTACCAATCTGCCAACTGGATGGAAAGGCTCAAAAGAAAAAGAGGAAATTTGATTCTTCTGGTCACGTCATTGTCAAGCTACTCATTTTCCTAACATAAGAGGAAATAATATAAGTAGAGATAGTTATTTGGTTATATATGGAATGGAATGATTGTTAGGGTAAGATTTGATTAACTGGAGAGACATCTTCCCACCAGCTAACCCACAAAGGGCCTTCATTGCCCAGGATGGAACTCAGAGTGTCAGTCGTCAAATCAAAAGACATGACTAATATTGAAGACACTGCTAACAAAATCAGTGACTTTCCTCAGACATCCACTTCTCTCCTTTGACCCTGAGGATGTTCCTCAAAATCACGAGTCTGCCCAAAGTAGCAACAAACCACGTGGAATAAACTAAAAAACCGGAATAATAAAAAGTCTTCTGAGCAATACTTACAGATGTTGGCCAAAAACAATCAAGGCAGAAAAGATGATCCATCATGTTCACTTGTTTAAAAAATCTAAATCCAGAGGCACCTGGGTGGCTCAGTCAATTAAGTAACGACTTTGGCTCAGGCCATTATGTCATGGCCCATGGATTCAGGCCCTGCATTGGGCTCTATGCTGACAGCTCAGCTCCTAGAGCCTGCTTCAAATTCTGTCTCTGTCTGCCTCTCCCCCACTCATACTTTGTATCTCTCTCTCTCTCTCTCAAAAAAATAAATAAAAAGAAACATTAAAAAAATCTGAAATTTGATTATGGTTAGTCATTACAACAGAAGCACACAAACAAATGAAAACCTCCTCATGTATTGTGTTCTTATAATGTACCGGTAAAGAATATTCTGCTTACATTAATCATTATAATGGTAATAATTAGGAATTCTGGACCTTGCTTCTGAAAGAAATACTTTCCCAGAGAAAGGATTTTTACCATGCTATCACATTGATTTAAAATCACTGAATTAAGGCCACTGGTTTATAGGTCAAGCCATATTTGAATGACTTAGAATAACATTTCTCTTCTTTGCTACCAGAATTGAATGCAAAGTGTGTAAGGCCCTTATGTTGATCTTATTTTAAAAGACATGTAATATAGCTACTGCAATTCCAGCAGAATTCCTCTGTTTTTTTATTTTGACAGCATAACACTACACCCATGGGAGCTGAGCTTTTCAGGTGTTAAAGAGGATTTGTTATAAGAAAATGATTATAATAGGATTTAATGTAATTGGAAGTCAAGGTACAGTAGCCATACAGTGTATCAGCGAGTGTCAAAACTTGCAGTGAGGGTGGAGTGCCTTTTGCTAAGTAAACAACAAAAGTGGAGAGAGAAGAAAATATTCTCTGCACAACAGGATCTACAAGGTTGGCCAACCTGATAAGCCTGCCCCACCACAGTGGGAAGCGAATTCGCAGGTGCTGCAGCACTTTCCTGGCAAGAGGGGCTGTGAATAGCTCCCACCTTCCCGTCCCACAAGAATGTTTTGAAAACAAGTTATATAATAATCTGAATTCTTCTCTAGAACTTGACAGGCAATAAACATAGGCCCTCTGAAGCTGCAGGAGGGAAAGACCCATCCCTTAGTCATTGTCCTGTCCCTTCCAGTCCTAGACACGAGTGTCACTGTAAGTCCCATCACACCTTTGCTAGGTTCACTGATACAGGTGGACACGCACACACGTGCACACACATGCACACCAGGCAAGAACTATCTTTCACGTTTTCATTTCTTTTCTCGACAATGTCATTCTCTTTCCAATAGCAATGGGTTTATCAAACATTGGAAGGCTTTTCTGTGGAGATAGTCTCATGAAGAATGCACATATGCTAACCACTCAGGTATCATAAATAATAAGCCCTCAAGATTAGAACTGGGTGGCAGCAAGCAGAAGTTGGAGAGTAACAACTGACGGCTGGTCTCCTCTCATACCTTTATAGGGCTTTTTTCTTCCCCCATATTTGCTTTCTGGCCATTTCAGGATGTCATTAGGCAACTCGGTCATAGTGCCTATGTCGCTAGGCAACCTAAGTCATTGTTATGACCTATGATTCTGTACGTGGGCAGAAGCAGGACCTGAAGTGTAAGACCATGTTCATCTCAGACAAACAGCTGGAGAACATTCTTTCCAATCATTACTGCTACTTCTTTCCTGCTGTGGCATCCCATAATAGCCTTTGGAGAAGACAGACATTAGGGTAGGCAAGACCAGGAACTTTCTTTCTTTTTTTTTTTTACCCTCAACAATTAAAATTCTTTTAATGTCTATTTATTTTTGAGAGAGAGAGAGAGAGAGAGAGAGATGGAGATTGAGTTGGGGAGGGGCAGAGAGGGAGACACAGAACCTGAGTACAATCCAGGCTCTGAGCTATCCAAGTTGGGTTGGAGCTCACAAGCTATGAGATCATAACCTGAGCCGAAGTTGGACGCTTCACCTACTGAGCCAACCAGGCACTCCAAATCCTTTTAAAAAGAGGTGGGGTATAAATAAATGGAATACAAATGGAACTCCTACATAATTGTCTCCAAATTGGTGAAGTAGACATTCTAATGCCACGAAACTTGCTCCCTCTGTTTTCTTCTAGGAGTTTTATAGTTTTAGGTCTTATATTTAGATCTTTAGTCCATTTTCGGTTAATTTTTGTATCATACTATAAGAATTCATCTTAATTCTTTTGCATGTGGGTATATACAGCTTTCCCAGAATCATTTGTTGAAGAAATTATTTTTTTTTCCCAACTGTGTATTCTTGACACCTTTGTTGAAGATCAGTTGACCATATATGTGGGGGTTTTCTAGGCTTTCTATTCTGTTCTATTAAGACCAGGAACTTTCTATCATTGCTTTAGCATTAATTTGTATATTGTATTTCTCAAGCATGAAATTCGTTTACAAAATGACACATGACAGCAAATCGACATATGGACTTGAGTCCAGTGTTTTGAGGTGTTCTTTCTTCACACCAAGTGCATTTCTATCTGCATTCCCAATAAATAGAAATGTAAGCATCCGATATTATGCCTTAAATATGAAGGTATATTTTTTTCTTCTAATTGTTGTTGCCTCGAAATCATGCAGAGTTATTTCAGAAGACTCATATCACACTTAAGGAATTTTCTCTCCTCCCTTTTCCTTGATTCTTGGTATTTTTACATTTGTCACCAATATTTGCTGTCTTTTCTCCTCTGTAGGGCTTCCCTTCTATTCCGATGCTAGCCAATGCTCTAGACTCACCAAGATAAAAGACAATCATGAAAAACAACCTAAAATGTGAAAAAATGCAAACATCACAAGTCAGCCCACATTGGACAACATCTATATGTATATATGCATGACTTTAAGTTATATTTGGCATTTTGAAAATGTTTTTATACTTACATATGAATGTATGTTTCATTGATTTGTGAATTAATATTTTACCCCACATGATGATGTCATTCTAAGAACAATGTATTCAAAGGAACTATAAAGCCACTGTATTTAGGACTGCTTACCTCCCAGGCTGATGACAGAATACCACATTAAAGCAAAGTCGTTGTTACCTCTATGAAGCAGGTAATCAGCTAATTACATGTTTTGATTCTAATACCTCCCTCTTTTAAAATTTTCACTTATTCTGTTAGGCTAGAGTAAACCATGTAGTGCCAATGTCCATAAGTAATAAATGTTAAGGTATGCCACCAGCAAAACCAATTTGTATGACATGACATAGAAATCCAAATATTTACTGTACTTTCATTATAAACGTCCCTGTTGTTTGTTACATCTCTTCCATTTGAACACATTTCTTTCATTCCAAGCCTGCTTCCCCATGCCCCATATAGGATTATTCTACTTTAAACACAAACGTGACTTCCACGTCAGAATCCTTAATAAAGAAGTTCTGTCATAAACCATTTGTTCCTTTGATCACTGTTCTGTGTTCTTTCATGCTTCATGAACTTTAACCTCAGTTAATTTTGTTTTGTTCCTTTTGCACATTCTCAGTGCTAAGAATTCTTACCAGCCAGTTCTCCTATCATGACAGCCCACCAATGAGCATCTGCCAAATACCCTCCTCTTCCTTCACCCTGTCCAAGAAAGCTCCCTCTTCTGAGAAATGTAGTCAGATCCAAAATCAACTTGACTTTGTTGTTTTGCATTTTAAAACAATTCCTACCTGGAATTATAGTATGCATTTTAAGGTCCAAATTTAAAAATAAGCATGCTAGTGGTGTTATATTTGTGAAGATTTAGCATCATAATAATTTAAAAAATATTCAAGACACCCTCCTTCTGTTCACAAGTAGAATTACTTGTCCTTTACCCTCTGTGAACTTAAGCATAACCATGTGGTTTGTATCAGCCAGTGAAATGATTAAGAGACAAGGGGTAATTCTTGTTTCTCTCCTCTAGTGGTATTAGGATCCCTGAGTATAGACAGAGCTCCCATGAGCCTGGATCCCTTGGTGATTATGATGAGCAAAGCCCCCACCAACTTGCACTGACTTTTAGCAAAAGTTCATCTTTGGGATTATTTATTGCCACAGCAAAGCCCATAGCGTTCTGACTAACATATAGATAGTAATTTGTCCTTTCCCTCAGTGTCACAGCAAGGCTCACCTTCTTCATAATAATAATGCTGTGTATTTCAAAACTTTAACCATGTTTTATCACTCATTTTCAAAGTTTTCTTTTTAGGTTACCATCTTTAAGTCTCAGATGGAAAGCCCAACACATAAAAAGGAAAATGATTCCATCATTTCTAAAAGCAATCATTTCTGAAGGCAGAATTAGAACAGATCTGATGTCTGGCCAGTGCTCTCTCCTCCAAACTGGAAATTATGAAGAAATCCAGGCTACAATCCAGTTAAAGGGATAGTCATAGAGGCACAGATGATTAAAGCTGGAAGAACTTCAGCGCCCATCTTATTCAGGCACCTTGTTTTAAGAGGAAGATCCTGAGACCCAATGGGTTTAAAAGAGTATCTTGGCTAACATCACACACCACCTAGTTAGAGATTGGGGGGTGCAAAAACTCAGATCCATTTGCAAGTATTTCTCTTTGATAATATAAGTGCCCTGAATTGAAAGGAAACTTCTTGAGTATTCCAAGAACACATTTGCATAGTCTCAGTTATTGGATTAAGAAATTTAATCCATAATCTTTGACTGTATCTTTTAGATATGCATTATGGTTACAAAAAAAGTTTTGCCTGGGAAACTGGATAACCATGTGCAGGAAAACAAAATTGGACCCCTATTTTACACCACTACAAAAATTAACTTGAAATGGATTAAAGATTTAAGTATAAGACCTGAAACCATAGAATCCCTAGAAGAAAATGCAGGAAAAAAGCTCCTTGACATAGGTATTAGCAATGGCTTTTTTAGATATATTTGCAAACTGTATATCTCAAAAGGAGTTAACATCAAAAATATATAAAGAACCTATACAACTCAACAGTAAAAACAAACAAACAATCCAATTAAAAAGCAGGCATAGGAACTGGATAGACATTTTTATGAGGTACACATAATGATATGCAAATCAAAAGCACAATGGGTTATCAACTCAACCTGTTAGAATGACTGTCATCAAAATAACAAGAGACCACAAGTATTGGTGAGGATGTGGAGTGCACTCGTGCTCTGTTGGTGGGAATGCAAACCGGTGCAGCCACCGTGGAAAAACAGTATGGAGGCTCCTCAAAACATTAAAAGTAGAACTATCGTATGATTCATTTTTGCAATCCCTTTTTTGTGTACACATCCAAGTAAATGAAAACAGGGTGTCATGGTGATAACTGCATCCCCATGTTACCTGAAGCATCACTCTCAAGAGCCAACATATGGAAACAACCTAAATGTCCATCAATGGATGAATGGATAAAAAAGATATAATATACATACACAATGGAATAGTATTCAGCCATGAGAGAAAAGGAAATCCTGCCATTTGCAACGACATTTAATGGAACTTGAGAACATTATGCTGAGTGAAATAAGCCAGGCAGAGAAAGCCATACTGCATGGTATGAATGATATGTAGGATCTTTAAAAAGCCAGACTTGGATAAACAGAGTAGAATCGTAGTTTTCAGGTCCTGGTGAGTAGGTAGAGGAAGTGGGGAGATGTTGGTCATTGAATACAAACTTTCAGTTAGAAGATGAATAAGTTGTGGAGATTTAATGCACAGCATTGTGACTACAGATAATAGTATCGTACTATGTGATTAAAAGTTGTTAAGAAGTAGATATTAAGTAGTTTCACCACACACACACACAAAGAAATGGGAATTATGTGATGTGATAGTGGTGTTAACTTACACTACAGTAGTAATCATATTGCAATACCTAAGTGTATCAAATAGATATGATGTATACCTTAATGTTGCACAATGTTATATGTCAATTATGTCCCAGTAAACTTGGGAAGAAAAAGTTTTGGCTTTATAACTAATATAAAGATTATTAACATGTATTATTGAAACAAAATTTTTAAACAATTGAATTCTGGAACATACAATCCTTGAGAATCCTCAGGTCTAATGCTGCCTTAGACTCACTCAACAATGTCATGTTGGATTCCCTCATTTTTGTGACTATATCACCCAGCCCAGTGTCTGGACAGAGTAAGTGTCAATATGTATTTGTGGAATAGATGCTTCTCCTTGCAAGACCCAGTTCAACTCTCTTTTCAGCATATCCTGCTGAAGTTAGTAACAAGTTGATGGTGACTCAGTTAACTACTCACCCAGATGACAGAGGTGATGAGCTGGCACTATACCAGCCTACATGATTTCTTTCTACACACTCATAGAAGACACTAAGAAAAATGAGACAAAAAAGGCCCTAGCATATTTTTAACAAGTTAGAGGAAAAGTTGACTGTCTTCAAGGAGTATTAAAACCACCTCCCAACATACACCCACTCCAATTCCGTCTCCACTAATTTTGGAGATTAAGTTGTCATATAGAAGGCATGTTCTCATCCCCCAGTATAGTTAGCCACTCCCCAAGATGAAGCTCCCTGTCTGAAAATGAGGAAATTGATGCTATGTGCCAGATACTGTATGTGGATTGGTTACATCAATGGCTCCCTCTCCACTTATAGAGAAACAAAAGTTTACAAAGCTAGAAGTAAGTAATTTGCCCAGGATCCTTAGCTAGAATACAGTAAAAGCAGGCTTTGAGCACAAATCTAAGAGCAGACACAATGACAGAATTATCCCATGAAACCAGGTGACTTCCTACTGCAAGGCAGCCTCCTTTTAGGCCCCCTCACATTGCAGCTGCTTGGGGAGCTGTCACATGACTACTATCCCTACCAAGAAGATTTAGCCCCTGAGAAGGTCATTTGCACTTTGCTCTCTTTCCTACCAGGCCAATAGTGAAAGAACAGCATAGACAAGAATGATTCTCTCTAATCTTAAAGAATCAGAAAACCAGAAACTCATTCCCCTGGTCTTCATCATATAAGTCTCATGTGGGTGAAGTTAAACTCAGTAGTTAGCCTAATGAGAGCACAGTCTTTGGCTCTTCTGAAACTATTTAAAGGTTGCTTTCTGGTTTCTGTGGTAAAGTACCTTGAAGTCCTACTTTCAAGTCTAAGTGGATAGGAGTTGAAATGGCACAAAAAATGAAGAGCAGTTATAAGCCTTCAGATCCACCATTGTCAGGTAGAAAGGAAGTTTTGAGGCTTACCCTGGACTATCTCTGGAAACTCAGTTTCCAAAATTACATATATTTCACCCTGCACAAGTCCCCAGGAGAAATTCCAGCACTGGAAAAAATGGATAATTTGAGAGGTGCTTGTGTGGCTCAGGTGGTTAAGCATCCAACTTCAGTTCAGGTCATTATTTCATGGTTAGTGAGTTCGAGGCCTGCATCAAGCTCTGTGCTGACAGCTCCTGGATGGAGCCTACTTTGGTTTTTGTGTGTGTGTGTGTCTCTCTCTCTGCCCCTCCTCCACTTGTGCTCTCTCTCAAAAATAAACTTCTAAAAAAATAAAATATAATAATAAATAAAATGAATAACTTGAATCAGAAGGAGGGGGTGGGTGAGCAGATTCTCCTCCACTTCATATTCTTTTAAATTTTTTTAAAGTTTATTTATTTTTGAGAGAGACAGAGACAGAGTGAGTGGGGAATGGGCAGAGAGAGAGGGAGACACAACCCCAAGCAGGCTCTGCGCTGTCAGCACAGAGCCTGCAATGGGGCTCAAACTCATGAAATGAGATCATGACCTGAGCTGAAACCAAGAGTCAGATGCTTAACCAGCTGAGCCACCCTGGGGCCCCATCCTCCACTTAGTACTTTTAACATCCCTCTTCCCCTTGCGGCTACCTTTCTCTTTCACAACACAGACCCAAAGGGATTGGGGGTGCCAGGGTGAGGGAACTCATTAGATGTTGCAAATAATTTAAGTACTCTGATCAGAGAAAACTGGTATTCAAAACAGAAGCTTTCCAAACTGAAAGTTTAGCTATTTTTTTTAGAGCTGTATAAGGAAAACAAGCCGTGTTGTTTGCCCTGTTATTAAAGGGGAGATGAAACAATAATATGGGCTCAGAACACTCTAGCAGACATCATATTTTCACTTGTTCTACTGTTAGATCTCCACTACAGTAAGGAAGCCCTTCACAGGCATACTCTTCTCAAGCAATCTTCTTTTTGTAACACGTCCTTCTAATGGATCCCTGTAAAACAGATTTATCAAGATATTTTAACACAGGCTATCTTGCATGTGGGAAGACAGAGCGACCCTTAAGGAAAAGAGAATGCCAGGAAGCAAATAGATTCAGGCTGGTTGCAAGCAAAAGGCAAAAAAAAAAAAAAGAAAAAGAAGAAGAAATTCAGAAATTCAGAAGCTCTGGGTCTGGAATAGCCCATCCCGTGCCAACTCAAGAGGCCAGGAGCTCAGGGACAGAGGAGGGTAATAGTCAAAACAATAACAACGCGCCCTTGTCCTTCCCACCTGCCTGCTGTTTCGTTAACCTAGGTTCCTTGAACACACGATCACATTTCATCTCCTGATAACCTATGAATAGTTACTATTATGATTCCTAGTTCATATATCAGGAAACTGAGGCCTAGAAGCATTGTATGCTTGCTTGTGCTCAAAGAGTAAGTAGAAAGGAGGAACTTAAACCCTGATTTGTCTGAACGATTTTTTATACACACAGTGGATAACCCTAGTAGAACAGAAAATACATCAGACCCTCAGGTTCATGGATGAACGTAAGGAGCCCATAAATACTTTGCAACTGTACAAGAAATATTATATATACATCTTTTTTTGGCAGGGGAATGCCTGGAGGCTGCACAGAGTTTTTAGAGGCTGGTTCCCACCACTTCTGCTGGGCTATATGACCTTGCATTGGCAGCGAATACCTCTGAATATCCATTTCAGATTTCTAAGATCCCTTCCATCTTTAAAATACAATAGTTCTGTTATCTTAAGTGTCCTAAGGAATGGTCAAGAAGTATAGCAAACTTTCCTTCTGCCTTTCACGACCCCTCCCCATCCTACCTGCACCCTGCAACTTTACACTCCTATGCCTAGTAGATCACCTGTTTATATCACCAGACACAATTTACCCAATTGCCATCTGCATTCTTCATAGCCTTTTCCAACTCTGGTTATATGATGCATGGAGTATGAGTCAGGCTAGGGGGAAAGGGGGCCTCTTTTCAAAGTTTATATGTAACTGTGAGAGCATTCAAGCATGTGCTGGCGTGCCAGCCCTGTGTTAAAAAAAAAAAAAAAAAAAAAAAAAAAACCTTAGCAATAATGTTTTCATGCTCAAACGTAGTTCAGGGACATCGGAACCCTTGAGAGTAGTATGGGTAGTGGGGAAGGGTGTGCATGTCAGAGGGCGTTGGGGGGGGGCACCATTGCCCACAACCATTTCTCCACCTTAAATTTCTGCTACCAAAAGTTTCTCCAGCCTCATTCCGCTCTGAGCTCTGAAGTCGAAAGCTCCAGTTTAAATTCCTTACTTGGAAGGTCATTCATTCTCTGATAGCCAAAAAGCCTCTTTGCTTTTGTCTTCCTCCTTGCTTTCAAATGAAAATATCAGACCACAGATCATCTTGCTTTCCCAATTCAAAAATTAATTACATCATGTCCAGAAGTGAAAGATGTTGGAAGTTATTAATGTATTAGTTGGGAACACCCTGCATTCTGATACCTTTGACATGAATTCAGATGCCTGTTGTCAGCCAGACCTGGTCAGTAGTTCCGGATTGGGGGGGGTTGGGGGGTCCAGGGTAGGGGGAGCAAAAACCGTGGGCACATATCCACATATTGTCCACTTCAGAC